CGCAGATTCTCCCATTTTCAATACCGGGAATGTGTGCAGTGTTGATTCACCCAGTGTATGGCGTGCTGACGATATTTCTCAAGAGGTCTCGAACGGCGGGTGCACTGCATGCAACAAACAGAGCCTCTGGGGATTTCGGCGCCAGTACTCCTGGCAGCGACACTGAGGAGAATCCACAAGAGGCTGCGGAAAGTACATATGCAAGGTGATCCGCCTCTGCGAATGAGAAATAGGATAGTCATTGTAAGGTGCTGCACAAGGCTCCGCCTCACTCGGTTGTGGTTGTGTTAGTGCGGGCCAGGGAGATGGTTGGTGTGCGATCCTGAGCTCGATAAATATGGCATGCGACAACCACCGAGATGGACTCTGCACTGACATTGACGTACGGAGGTGCACTGCATGCAACAAACAGAGCCTCTGGGGATTTCAGTGCCAGTACTCCTGGCAGCGACACCGAGGAGGATCCACAAGAGGCTGCAGAGAGTATGCAAGGTGATCCGTCTCCGTACGTCGATGTTAGTGCAGAGTCCATCTCAGCGGTCGTCGCGTGTTATATTTATCGAGCTCAGGGGCGTGTGCCAACCATCTCGCTGGCCCGCACTAACACAACCGCAACCGAGTGGGGCGGCGCCTTGCGCAGCACTTTACAGTGATTATTCTATCTCCGATCATTCGCAGCGGAGTGCTCAACCAGAATTTGCGCTAGCTCCACCAGTATTCCCACCACGGCTCCCGTTCTCACCCAGTCGGCGGAAGCTGTTCAGCCTGCTTCAATTGCTCGCTCGGAGCGCTGTAATTCTCGGGACAATGTTCCGACGGTTTATTACGATGCCCCCGAGTCGGTTTCGGAGGACGACGACCCAGTGGACTGTGGAATACTAAGTCGTTCTCTGGCCGTTGTAACCTTTGTACATAGATGTCAGTTTATCTTCTTGAAAGGTCCTGTGTTAACTTTTCCCTGTTGTCCTTCATGGTTTTGTCCTTCCCCGTGCTGTGGTATTCTGGTGCACATAGAGTTTATAGGGTTTTCATTCACGCATGCATCATTCCTGTGTCCCTGCTTCGTGCTGTACCCACTGCTGCGTCGATTTACTGTGTCCAGTTAAATAACCACGGTCTTCTTTTGGGATGTCCTGAATCCCACTTTGAAACACAATTTCTGCGCCTTTTCAACTTTTCAACCCTTGGTTGAAAATTAGGCCGAATCTCGGATCAATAATTCGAATCAAAGTTGGTTGATGTCTTCCGCTCGCCACTGGTTTTTTTCCCTGCTGCCTACTCCTGGGGCTCCCTCGTCACCACTTCGAATCATACTGAAATGGCAACAGAAACTCCAGCTCGAGACGGTCAAATTCACCGAGTCCTACAACCGAGATTTCCATAGCCCAGGTTCCAATGTCCAAGCCCATCCTTCTACTCTTGGGACACGCACGGATAGGTATGTACATTGTCCCCAATCTTCAGTGTCACATACTTGTGTAGCGCGCCGTCTGGAGAGTTTGGCTCGAGCATCTCCTGCGCGATCGCGACGAGCGGCATAGAGTGCGACTCCGTCGCATCGGTTTGGATCAGGTCGATCTGCCGGAGATTACGCATTTCCGCAAGGGATCGTAGGATATCCTGGGCGCGTTCAATAATTACTAGACGGTTGGATGGGAAAGGAAAGGACTCACGGGCGTCAGTGCGTAGTGAGAATCACCATCCCCAATTTCGATTGCGGGCATCTCGACGAGGTCCGGACAATATTCAACCAGTTCTAGGCGAAGAAGATACGAACGGGTAAGGCAAGGGAAGTGACGTTTGTGATGCAAGACGTACCGGCAATCCTGTCCGCGAGAATCGGGGGAGCGCTCAACACGCGTAGTTTGGGAAAATGTTGGTGCAAATGGTCGTAAAATCCAAACTTATGGATGTATAGGCGTTCGAGATTGGGACAGCATTGCAGAATCTCGAATGCGTGTATGTGGAGGACGAGTGTTCGTATCGACTGAAAATTGAAGGTGTGCCCTTCGAGAGCAGAGCGCAAGTGCTTCACCTGATACGGTGCGCGTATAATCTGAAGTGTCTCGAGGTTGGGGAGGAGCGAAAGACATCGCAAGAGCTCCGGGAACAGCGTGTCTGCCGACGAGTTTGAAAGAGCTACCGAGAAGGTTCTGGGATTCCATGAGGGTGAGTTCGTGGCAAGCCCTGAGTAACCACATACGGACCTAACCTCTGCCGCGAACGCAGGATTGCGTACGGTTAAAGTTTCCGTTTGGCGCACAAGTTCGCGCGCAAGGTCCATCGCCAGGTCCTCCGACCAGAGAGAGCGCCGCCTGTGCATAGGCCAGGTACGCGCCTTGAATTTGTACAGCGGGGAAATTTTGGCGCTTGCACAGATTTCGACGTGTGCCCAGGCGTGCGCCAGGAACACGCGGCGCAGCTGCTGGCAGGTCTCCGAGAGTGCGCGAATAGCGTTGGAACGCGCTAGATGGTCCTTGGAAAGGACATGCCAGCTGAGACAGGGTACGGGAGCGCAGGGGAAATATGAGACTATCTCGTGAAGGAGTTCCACTGGGAGGACAGGAAGACCACTGGTGTTCACAGGTCCAGAGGCCAATAGGCGCAATTTACCACCTTTGCGCGTATGAGGGGGCATGGCAAGGACGGTGGGTCCAAGGATGAAGTTGGTCACAGTTTGGTCACACTCAACATCTGATGGCTGACACCACAAATTCAAACTCCGCGCATTCCTTTCTTTCCTTGCACCAACGATAGCGTCCACTTCAACCTGGGCCAAGCGTCCGTTTTCTCGATGCTCAGTCTACCAGTGCACAGACGTGCCTCTCCGTAGCAACGCTGTCCCGCCCACCCTCCGCCCTCTGCTTGCCGCAAAATTAATCGTTCAATACCCGTACCAATATCTTGTGGCTGTCCTGTCCTTGCCACCGTCCAGCTCCTTTGCCGATTTGTTTTGAGAGCGTTTGGAATCTTTGGATGATGGGGCGAAGGTTGTAGAAGTCAAACTCGCAACTTAGGCGCGCGCCTAGCTGGATTTTACAGCCCAACAGCTCTCGGTATCTGCAGCCTCAGTCGGACGCTGCTTACCTCCACCCTCATGTCATAGCCGATTTTTGTCCAAGCCCTGAACAGAGCCAAAGATTTGCGAACACTGCGAAACGACACCAACGAGACGTAGACCTCATCCTCGGAGACTCGTTGATTGATGTGTGCAATGCGGCCCCTCCGGTACGTTCAGGTTGTTTTCGTTTATTTCGTTCGCTGAGCGACGTCAACGACTCTCAAAAAACCTCATCCTCCGTCGCGATGCATGCCCTCGAGCTACCAGAGTCTGGTCAAACGCGGGGTTACCCCAAAGTGCTGTTGGGCTTGGAGAGATTTCAGAGGTATGCTCGATTTTCTTGCCCAGGATCATAGTACCGTATTGACCTTCATCTAGCGCGCTTCTCGAGATTCGCAGCCCATGTCGAGTCCATCCCGGTGCAACACATTGAGACGAGACGGGAAAACTCGAACTTAGTCGAATTGCGTTCCGCTACAAGTCGGCGCAGCTCCAGGCGAAGTTGAACTCGGTGCACAAGAACCTGGTGAGTTCTCCCCCTCCACCAGCGCTCGCGTCTGCTCACTATCCCTTCAGATGAAATTGTCGACCAAGCGTCGGTTCTCCCCATCCCGAAATGAATGCATTCTCGAAGTCGCAGCCTTCACCGCCCGAGCGACAGAGGCAATTTTCGAGCTCCCTGTCCTCAGTTTCGTCAAGCCAGTACCTGTGCTAGCGGCGGTTATCTGCGACACAGCAAGGATGGTGAACAGCAACCGCGACGCTGCAATCGAGCTCGCAGACCATGCGCGGAACGTGACAAACTCTGTTGTGGCTCGTGCCTAGTGATGTTCTGGCTTTGGCTTGGCCTGAAAGCCATGGCTTTGGCCCGGCTTTGCCTGGCTTTGGCCTCGAGAATTCTGAGGCCAGGCCAAAAGCCAAAGCCAAGCCAACCCCTGGCTTTGGCCTGAAAGCCAGAAAGCCGGGGCTTTTGGCGGGGAAATGTGGTGATTTTTGGCTTTGGCCTGCTCATATCCCAGGCCAGGCCAAAAGCCAACCCAGGCCAAGGTTTTGGCCTTGGCTTGGCTTTGGTACCAAAGCCAAAAAGCCCCGGCTTTTTGGCCTCAGGCCAAAGCCAGGACATCACTACTCGTGCCACTGCTGATACCGGAGTTGAGGACAGGGATTTGGTGGAATTGCGCCTGTGCGTGTTTTTCTGTGTTCCTTTGTATTCCTTGAGTCTCTAAATTGAAACCCTCGTCCGTACAGGACACTAGAGCGGATCCAGGAATTTCTGGAAGCACTGCAATGTCGACGGGGCAGCCGCGGCCGTGTCATCTCATTTATGTTGGCTGGGAAGGACAATGAGACGTTCGCGGCTCTGCATGTCGCCCTTGACCGTGCATTGGATGTTTTCACAGTGCGTCAATCTGACCTCCGAGTGTATCGTTTCAAACTAATTGCTTTTCGGCAGAGTTCGCAGACGGTCACCACCGTACAGCTCGTTCGCGCTAGTAGCAATGAATTTGCCGTTATCCAGACCAAGAGTACTCCCTCGAGCAGGAGGTCAAGCAGGCCTTTAGCCTGTTTTCTGTAAGCTTCGCCCATACTTACGGCGGTGTAGCTCGGCGCAATGGACCGCTGGTCCTACAACCCCACAGCCCAACAGCTTTTGATAACCGGGCTTTTTTTTTTAGACAAGAAGTTTGAACTTGATCTTTTTCCCGTCAAGAGTGCCGCCCGCTAGAGTAAGCGCTGTGAGGAAAGGAAGGTATCATATAGCTGGGCGACTGGGACGAAAGGAAGTAGCAAGGTAGAGTCGCACCAGGCAGTAGCCCAGTAGCGAACATGGCCGAAATGGCTGAATGTCAAGGGGATTCTGTCCGATTTCTTCTTCGTCAGGCATATCGCTCGCTGCACAGGTGGACATATATATGGCAGGTTGCAGAAGTGGGTGGAAGCCTTCGTGGATCGTGGTGATCGCCCCGGCCCATTGAGGGCGTCTCTCAGGCTATTGTGACGACGAGGAGGAAGGGGTTCGATTCCCCTCGGAGGCACTACAGCTACCTCTATAACTATACTGGTTTTTTGTGGCTTCAATCTGGACCTGTAGTCCGTTGAGTAGATATATAATCACCACGAGGCAGTAGGCTGAGTGGACTTCTGTGGATTGCAGTGATATAGGCTCCACTTCACGGAATTTCTCCGCCACGGATTCAGAAGGGAAAGCCTTGGAGCGAGATCTTGCTCTTCTCTTTATCGAGCTCTGTGCCAGGTCGCCTATAGTCAATCCCGCTTCGATGATATGTGTATTAGGCGGCTGAGACTCAGAACCTACATGGATCAAAGGCCGACGCCATGGTCTCGATTCTCGAACGGGACGGTTGGAGAAGGAGGTTCGAATTCTCCGACGGGTCTTGGCGTTGGGCGGGACATTTCTTTTCATTTTTTCCTGCAACTTCAAGGAGTAAGTATTGCCTCGCAGGAGTATATCGAAAACCTCAGCGGAAATGTGCGAAACGCGGGACATCAAACGCGTGTCGAACTTAAGTCACGTGTGCGCGTACCACAGCCACAAATTCAAACTCCGCGTGTTCCCTTCATTCCTTTGACCAACGATGACGTCCACTTCAATGCGAGGCCAAGGGTCCGCCTTCACGACGCCCGGACTGCCAACATCCATCCGCGCGATAACCACGCCCCTCCGCAGTACTGCCGCGCCGCCAATCCCCCCGCCCTCGGCCCTCTACGAGCCACTCGCAAAATCAATCCTCCAACGGCGCCTCACGCGGAGGATATTCCCGCTTACTTTTGGGGTGTGTGTGGGTGCGGCGGTGGTGTGGCTGGCGTGGATTGGCGCGCTGGGGCTGCGGCAGGTGTTTGGTGCAGCTATGGGCACCTGGGTGTGCGCGGTTGTACCGGTGGTGCTCGTCAAGAAGGCGTATTTGACGGGTGCGTTTTCCTTACTTTCATTTTGACGGTGGACCACTAACGCGTCTGCAGTAACCCACACGACGGCTGCATCGCCCTTCCTGCTCCTTAAAAAGTCTGTAACGCCCGGTCCACTCCGCGCCCGCACACTCCACGCGCTGCAGGCGTACGTCTTCTCTGCGCTCGCGGTGCTGGCGGTGCATGCGGCGCTGGACCCTGCTATCCCCGTGTTCATTAGGTCGAGGTGCGTGCGCGTTCCTTCTGCACGTCTTCTTCACTCTCGTGTGATTCTACCTTGTCTTGCGGCCCATGGGTCCACCTTGCGTGAATGCGCTAGTGGCACTTCTCTAGTGGGCCTTTCCTCGTGCTCGTGGTGTCCATTGCGATCCCCTTGCATCCTGGGTCCACTTTTCGCGAATACGACCCGTCGTGTCGTTTCTTGCCACTGGCATTCGCTTTCCTCATGGCGCAACGCATAGCCCGCGTTCCTTGTCCTTCCCTCCCTTTCTTCTTCACTGCATCTGCCGGCCACTGACTTTCCACCAGAAAACACCCCTACACCCCGCACCCGACCCTCGTCCTCCTCGCCACCACCCAGATCCTCTTCGCAGCCCTGTATGTGCTGCGCGCCACCCTCCGCGACGCGTGGGTCTTTCCGTTCCGGGTGCGTTCCAAATTCCTTGCTTTCCATTCCTTACTCCTGCTACACTCCCTCCTTCCTGTAGTTTCTCTATCCTCACACCGAACTGACGCGCCTCGTCCACAGCGCCCCAACACACCCACGCCCACCCTCTCCGCCTTCCTCACGCCCCTCCTCCTTGCCCTCGCGACCTTCCCCCTCGCGCTGGTGCTGCTCTTCATAGTCCTCCCCGTGCTCAAGCGCCTTCCGCTGCGTGAGTCCCTCCTTCCTCTCCACTTTTCTCCCCCCATCTTTCTTCCTCACCCCACTTCCCCACCTTCCCCACTTTCCTGCTTTTCTCCCTCGCCGCGTATAGACCCACGCTAACCACTACACATCTCATAGTCTCCTCCCTCGTCCGCCCCCTCCTCCGCCCCCACCTCTCAGCGGCGCTCTTCGTCCACCACCTCCCGCGCGCGTGCGCGCTCGGCGTCAAGACGGGGTGGGCGTGGGAGGTGTGTGTTGGGGGTGGTGCTGGGGAGGGCGGCGTGTGGGGGTGGGTTGTTGGGGAGGTGCGTTTGCGTTTGCGTTTGCGGCTCTTCTCCTCCTTTGATTCGCGCTTCTGCTTGCTTCGTTTTGGGCCATTCTTTTTTCTTTTTCGTGGTCGAGTTTTTCTGCGCGTTTGGGGGAGTGGGTGTCTGCGTGGGGGCGCGCTTTGGTTTTGGGAGCTGTGGGCCGGACGGATAGACTGGGACGAGCATCGTGCGTCGGTTCTGGCGCTGGCTTTTCCTTGAGTGGGGTGCTGCGCGACTACGATGAGGATGATGATGAGGGTGGTTGTGGAAGTGGTGCGGGGAGCGTTCCTCATTCCTGTCGTCGTGCACGGGAGCAAGCGAGCGGCTTCTTTGGGCGGTGGACGCAGACGTGGGGGTGCAGTGCTCCTGCTCCTTTACGACCCCTGCTCGCAGCGCAAGCCGTTGCTCCTTCTTCGGGGCGCCCAGCTATCCGCGCCTCCGATTTCTTTCGTGCTCGCCCGCCGACCTTTCTTCTCTTCCGGTGCGATTTGGCTCCTGGTCGCTTGTGCGCGGGCTCGGGTTCTTCTGTCGTTGTGCTGTCACGGCTGGTCCCCAGCTGGCCGACCACCCTCGTCGGAATTCGCCTCCTTGGTGCCCATCTGTGCCTTTGGCATGGTCCTCGCTCTTTTACGTTTCTCCATGATACCTCTTTTCGTCATTGACTGCGCGTCTCGTTTTGCTGCGACGGAGACGGGGACGAAATGGCGACGCGGGAGCACCCTCGCTGCAGACTTTTCTTCTGCGGGACCCTTACGACGACGACGACGGGGGTGGTGCTGGGGCTTGACTTCTGACGAAGACACAAATGACGAGTGACAGGCACACTGTGCAGGCCGCTGCTTACTGTTTCTCCTGCCAGGAGCTTTCTACGCCTCGTCCTTCTCTGCTTCCCTGCCGGCATCGACACTCCTTTTTGGGTGCACGCGGCTCAGAGTCTTTTCTGCTGGAGTGGAGGCGGTCGCACTTACGCGCTGCCTCGGGTCTGCGGGCTCATGTTTTTCTTGAGCGTGGCCTCGTTGTGTGTCTCCGCCCGCTCGGGCAATCCCTCACCCAGATTTGACTCCATCTTCCGCAAAGCCAAAGCAAATCCCTGACGTCGATTTGACTTTACTTCTCTTCAGAATACTTCTTCTATTCTCCTTCGAATCATCCGTCCTCTCGCGCCGACGCTGACATTTCTATAGCCCGTACACACAACGCCCGCCCCGCGCGCACTTATCTCGGGCGTCTCCGTCGCCGCCACGCCGATGCCCGTCTCCTCAGCCTCCGGCTCCTCTGCATCGAATCCCGGCTCGGCCTTCGCCACCCCCGCGCGCACCTCGTCGATATTCCTCTCCGGCACCCCGACAACGTCCAGCTTCCCTTCCCTCACCACTACGCCCGTGGAACCCTCCATTTACACGCACCTCGCGTACACGGAGCTCCTGCGGCTTGCGTCAAGCGAGGGGGCGGCGGCAGCGAAGGCGCGCGGGGAGGTGTTTGATGTGGAGGGCGCCGTGTGGGGGCGGTTCGTTAGGGAGGCGCTCGTCTTGCTCGGGCGGGAGTACCGCGTCTTGCTGGCCAAGGGAGGGGCGGTCCCCTCTCCTCCTCCGCCACCCCCTGCTGTCGCACCCACCCCGGGCTCGGCCTCCTACTTCGCTAGTGGAGGAACGCCCGTAAGCGCCATTGCGAGCGGATCGACGCCCTCGCCGATCACGCTGCACAAACAAAACATCTTTGCCCCGCGCAAGGCGCCCGCCTCGCCCGCCGCGCGCATCGCGTCGCTCTCCTCGTCCGTGTTTGCGTCCGCGCCGGACGGAGACGAGGGCGGGATCGAGGCGTTCTTGGCGCCTGCGGTGAAGAGTACGGCGGCGGTGCTACCTGCTGCGCCGCCGATGCCCAAGTGGGAGTGGCGGCCGTTGGTGAGGGCGTTGATGCCTATTGTGCCGGTGCCTCAGTGGGTGAAGGGGGCGGTGGGGACGTTCGGCGGTGGAGGCGGACATGGACATGGGTGGAGGAGGGAGAGGAAGGGGCGGGAGGTGAGGGGGTGGGTGCCGAGGGGGGAGGTAGTCGTTGAGTGTATCGGGGGTGAGTTTCGTGCCCCTTCCGCACTACCGTTTCTTCTACCCATACCTTTCTTCGTGTGCCGCTGTCTTAATCGCCTTCACGTTACTACTTCTCCCTTACTTCCCTCTTGTTCCCTTACTTCCTCTCGTTCATTTTCCACTTTCTCTTTTCCATCTTCTGCCCGCCTCGCTTCTCATACCTATCCTCCTTGCTTTTTCACCCTTTTCCTACATCCTCTTCGCTAACTTTCCCTCCATTCACAGTTCTCACCCTCCTAACCACCGCCTCCCTAACCGAAGACCGCTTCGGTGTTGTCCAACGCGACATCCCCCGCATCCTCGAAGCGCTCGTCGCGTTCCTCGTCGCCATCGAGGAGGCGCAGGCGCAGCTCCGACCGCAGGAACCCAAGACCACGCAAAAGGAAGATCTCCCCGAGGACGAGCGTGTGCTGATTGGGGTGGTGGAGGCGGTGGAGGACGCGGTTGGGGTGACGCGCGATGCGAATGGGAAGGGCGGGAGGCGTGTGGATGCGGAACTGGAGGCGGACTTGGCGGAGGCGCAGGCGGTGCTTGGGGAGGTGGGCGATGGTGAGTTTTTTCGTTGGGCTCGGGGTGTCCGCCCTGGTCTTGGTACGAAGAAAACTAACATACGTTTCAGCCTTGACAGACGGCCTCGCGCGCATCGCCCGCACATTTGGCGACAAGCTGCGTGCCTTCCGCTTTGCGCCGAGGACGGCGACACGGTTGGGGGCGTTTGTAGAGTTTGCGTAGGGCGTTCATATAGTGTTCCGGGGGGCACGTCGGAGCTGTGTCGATGGAATCGATTCAAGTTAGGGCTAAAAAGACGATCGCATTCTCTCTCGAGCTACGAATTGGCTACAAGCACA